TTTTTCAAGTCCAAATAAAATTAATTTTAGCAATAAATCAAAGACATAATTAATTGTTGTTACTCTTTTTGTTTATCATCCAAATGAATTACATGTGATTTTTCATTTATCACTTTTGATTTAAGTTGAGAGTTCCTATGATTTGTTTCTTCTGACATTGGAAGAGCTGGTTTTTTAAGATGAGATTCTTCTTCTTTTTGAAAATTAGTATTGTTGACTGGTATAGAAGAGGTTATCGTATTGAGATTTATTGTTGGTTGACAAGGTGTTTTTTCATTAACACTTGTTGGTTGTGCAACAGTACCACCTTTTTTAGATAACTTGGAGATACTACCAACAATGGTTTGGCTAGCATTAGACATTGAATCTTCTTTCCTTTTCTTTTCTTCTCGATATTGCCTAGCTTGAATCCTTCTTTTTTCTTTCTTTTCTTCTTCCTTTTTAAGTTCTTCTTCAGTCAAATTTTTGACTGGAACACATTTAAATGGTTGATTAGCTTTGTAATGGGGAACAGGATCAGTTCCAGTATCATCAATGAATGGGTCGTCCGTGATATAACCAAATCCTTTTTTTGATTTTCCAACAAATAGACGTTGTTGAATTCTTCCTAAAACAGAAGAGTATTGATTTTCTCTTAACAACTCACGTTGTTGTGCTTCTTTCTTTGCCTTTTCAATTGTTTCATCATCTACAATTCCACTATCTGCCTTTTCATCCATTTTCTCATCTTCTGATTCATCTTTTTCAAGGTCAACCTCTTCATTTTCTTCTTCTTCATCTTCAATCATTAATGAATTTATCGCATCTCCATATTTCTCTTTTGCTTGTTCGTTTAAAAAGATTTGAAAATTAGGCCAAAGGTCAATCTGTCTATCTTCAGGTATCTTAAATTCTTCGGTATAAACACGGGGATCCAATAATTGAAGGTCATCTAGAGGTGGCATCTCAGAATCATTTTCAGTGTCTGTTTCATTTCCATTACTTTTAAACACCTCTTCCATTGAATTTTTGGAAATAAAAGAAATTGAGATTGTATTTCTTTTAGCTTAAAAACTTTGGTTTTTTATTTTTGTAGATTTGGTCATTCTTTTTATCATTGATAATTCTATCATACACAAGTTACTCATCATACCCAAATGTAAAATACTTTATTTATTAGACCTTAATTAAATTCTCAATAATGAAAAAATACAATAAATTAAGTTGTGAAAAAGTTCATTTAGATTTAATCTTCAATCTTTTTAGAACATAATCTTTAAATTCATTCTATCTAATCAAAACCATTTTGTTTAAACTTTATTTGTATAGTCTAATAGAAGAGATACTATTTTTTAATTAATAACTCTATAACTTGATTATTTATTCATTTTTCTAAACTCAAAAATTTAGTAAAAGTAAATCAAATTACACCACATTATTCTGTATAGAGAAACTCATTAAAAGTCCTTTTTGCATATTGATTTTGAATGTAATTTTCAACACAAGAAAAGGATTTATTAGAATAAAAGATAAAATACAATGGTTGTCTCAACTTATAAACACTTTTACTTTGGAAATGATAATAAAGAAACAACGTTATGGTAATATGTCATTCAAAGCTTTTAGTATTAGTAAATTGTTTCTGGTTTGTAATTATTTAACTTAAACAAAGACAAGAACATGTTTTAATAGAATAAAATAAGAAGGAAACACACATACATTTCTAGTTCAGAAAAAATCAATTTATTGAGCGGCTTGTTGTTGTGCTTGGGCAGGGGCTTGAGCACCTGGTTGTCCCATGAACATTTGGAAGAGCATCATAAGACCCATCATAATAAACATTTGATATTTTTGGAAGAAAGTACGCTTGTCAACAAATGTTTTTTCACCAATATATCTGGTAACAATAACCTTTCCTTCTTCATCTTTTTGGTATGTAGTAATTGAAGCAACAAGAGCATCGGTTCTTGGAATATAAGCAGTGTATGAAATATTTCTGAATGTACCTTCTGCAATATACATATCTGAAACATTATGGAAATTCATAGTAATAAGAAGTTTATCTTCTTGGACTTCATCACCTATCATTTGGACTTCAATAGTACTACCATCATAGATAGATATTTGATAATATTTCTCATTATCATCATTAATAATAACATCAAGCATATCGGCAACATCAGTTCTAGCTGTAATATTCATTGCAACTAATGGCTCTCGTTCTTCAATTTCACTTTCATTATCTTCAGAATTATCAGAGTCATCAGAAATTGTTGTTTCAACTTGGTAAAACTTCCATTCTCCAGAAAGATATTCTTTCATTTCGTTTGGTTGGTTATCTGCATTAACAATAAAAACAAGAGCCAAGAAGAATAAAACCTTCATTAATTGTTTTTAGTTCTATTTTCTTAATTTTCTTTTTTTGATAAAACAAATTTATCTTCTTGTTCCTCCTCCATTAAACATAATAATCTCACTCCCTTTCTGTAAGAAAAACATTTTATTTTTATTTATCTATAATTCATAGTTCTATTATTATTTAACAATACTATTCTTCTTTACTTATAATTAACCAATTCTTTCGGGTAATATCCATCAATTTGTATTTGGTGATTTATTTTTTTATTTGAAAAACAAAAAAAAAAA